ACCACCGCAGGTCATGTCCGTGCAAAGCTCAATTTTTCTGTATGCGGTGTCGCACAATAAACTGCTCGGTGACGGACTGACTGTTTTGTATGTGACACCAATGTATTCAATTCTCCTTCTTCATCCCTGATCTGGCCTTTTTTCTTGTTGTTTTGCCAAAAGGCAAGCGATCGCTTCCTCCTCTGTTTGGGACGTTATGCCATGACTGAAATGGTGAGAAATGAAGGAATTTTGTCATGAGCAAATTAAACTCCGGTTCAGCATGGCTGCAGGAGGATCTGGAGGTTTCCTGGTGGGCTGGTCTGATGTGTGGGCTGCAGGACCAGCGCTCCCGGTTTCTTTTTTTGTTTTTTTTTTAGATATTTTTATTAACAACATATAAACACAGAACACCCCTGAGGCTGCCAGCGCTCGTGCTTTTTTTTTTTTTCCAACCTGTCAATCAATCCAGTAGGCGTGTTGGCAAACGACCAATAAGCGATCTCAATTTGTACCGAAGATAAATGCCGCTTGTCTGTGGAGCTGCTCTGCAGCTCCTCAGGGTGGACGCTTGAGCATGAAGTCTGAACCCTCTGCTTACAGTATGCGCATACGTATGCATGGACGTACAGTACGCGCATACGTATGCGTGGACGTACGTACGCGGGAATATACTGGGGGCTTAAAGGTAAAAAGAAAAGACTCCACCACATCACCAACAACCTGACAGCTTTCTTCGTAGATGAATACGAGCGATTTCCTCCACGACTCCGCTTCACTTTGCACCCTTTAAACAAAGAGGTCACATTCCTCTGACCTCGGGACATTATTACCCTGTAATCATGCGTTGCTACGCATGGCTACATTTGTTATTCCTCTTTGACAGCCGAATGTTCGAAGAAAGCAATTTTACCTGATGGATGATCATAAGACCAGGGGCAGCCTATATCGGCTTCACGCCTCGCCTGTGAATTATGCACGACGAAATCTCAGATGCCCAAATCAGTTGCGCCACAATACCTGCCTTCTCGAATAAACTCCCACTTTGCGTGCTTTACACGCTGGGTATAATTGCCAGAGCTGCGAGGACTTCTCAGCTCATCAGAGTGTACATGGGTCCGATTCATTATCACAGTGTTTACTTGTCTTCTTAAATCAAATAGGCTGTCAGTTCTTATCACAACGCCATTAAAAAATGTTTTCTTCACAAGCAGGATGTCTTAGATGACTGATTCATGGGTCTGAGGCCATTCATGATCACAGAAATCAATCGGCGCTGCTCTTCTGCACTGCACTTTGTCTGTTGGCGGCAACAGGGATAACGTGTCAAAGTGGGCCTCCTCGATCTTGTCACTTTAAGTGCAATCAATACTTGCTTCCCCACCAACCAAACACCTCTGAATATCAACCTCTCCTCCTTTCTCCACAGTGTGGCTGAACGTATTGATCAATATCTGACTTTAGGCCAAAAAAACACCTGCAGTAACATCAAGGCACAAGGTAGAATTAAATGCTTTACAATTTACTGAAAACAAAAACACTCTGCAGGACAGTCAGCTCTGCAAACATGCTTTGGGTGCAAATGTTGCATGACTTGCACTATCTCTTGGGAAAATTCCCTGTTTACAAATGATGTTGCATCCCATTTTTAAAGTATTTTAATGTGAATTGTGCTGCTTTTCATATAGTCAAACAATTAAGCTACTTGTTTTTGCATCTCCAAACATTCTTTTCATCCCAAAGTCTTAAAAATCAGAGGACATTGTTCAGCCTGCAGTTGGCTTCCATGCAGAGACAATCCATAGAAGCCACCCTCTGGTAATCTAGTCCACCTAAAATATTAAAGAGGCTTTATGCATGCATTACTTAGGAAACAATTGTATTAATAGCCTGAGGCATTAGAGAGATGTATATTTGACAGTACTAAAAGTGTACTCAAGCTTCTTTTGCTGCAAATGGTTGTTTGGTGCAGTGCTGCACCAGTATTAGCTACCGAATGATGATCTCTCCATGTGTTTATCCAGGCTGGTCTATTTCTTTTATATTGTTCTTTATTCTAAACCAGACAGAGTAACGAATAGGAACAAAAAAGCTTATAATTTGCGACTAATCCTCTGTAATTGCTGCCCTTACAGGCTGGCACTGCCCTCTTGTGCTAGTCTGCCAGGGCTTTTGACTCGCGTGACTCTAATGACCTGATGGACCTGCGGGTGGTTATTACAAAGAAATATTAAAGCAGGACATAAAGTTGAACGATGCAGATCTTTTTATCTAAACACACACATCAAGTGACATTCGACTTTAATGCAAATGAGGCACAAATCTGCAGTGTCACACACACACACACACCCTCCCTCACACACACATCTACATGGAATAGTTCAAAGAGCAGCAGCTCCATTTGGGATATGATTCTGGACAGCATCAGTACGATGAAGCGGGAACGCTCTTGACAGTGTTGTTGGTGGAATGGCATCAAACAGTGGCGTGAGTGTGTGTGTGTATGTGCAGATGCTGATAAAGTTCGCACACACACACGTGCGCGCACATGGTCCTCAAGAGAGAAGTGAGCTTGTTGATATCAAGTGTTCGCTCGTAGCTATACATGGTGTTCTTTTTGTCTGCGGAGCTTGTCTGGCACAGCAGAGTGACATTTGATCTGACGGCTTTTGAATTATCTGAACCTGATCCTCGGAGACAGAAACACATTCTTGTCTAATCAAGTATGAAAATGTGTTGGATGAAGTGAACTGACAGGGAGGATGTGCTTCAAAAAGTGGTGTCTCGAAAAGACATTAGAGTGAAATCTGTTTCGTCGAGGCCATCCCACTTAAAATGGAAAGCACGTGTGTTGACTGCATAAAATGAAGTCATGTGGAAAGCTAGAAGGAAATGAGATAATTTTGTTGCAGGTAGGTGGTAATTAAACTAATCAGTGTGAACAAGAGGAATAAAAGACTTTACTGAAGACTGTCGAGGGACATGCTTTGTACAAGTCAAATCTGAGTTTAAAGGGAAACCATTTTTATAATAAAAGTAGATTTTTTTTTGTGTGCAAAATGTTGGGAAAGTTAAAACAAAGTTCAAATAGTAACAGTTTACAGAAAAACAGTATATTCAGTATTTATCTGCTAATAAGACCCATTAAAAAAATTATGAACCGATATTGCATTAGTTTAGACTGAAACTATAAAAACACATTTCTTTAAATATGAGCATGAAAACAAAACAAAGTCATCATAATAAGAAGAAACTGCAGATGCTCAGCATTTCCATGTTTTCTTTCTTGGGCCTCCACAAACTTTTGAAAACGGTTGATTCTGTTTAACACAATTTAAGGAGTGCTGGGGGGAAAAAAACAGTTGCAATTTTATATTAAATAATATACATTGTTTTGCATTGAAAAGAATAGTATTTTTTTCAAATGGATTTGTTTGAAAAATTTGGAGAAAAGTTCCCATGTGCAAATTCTCACCATAAAAACCCTCAAAAGTTTAGGGAATTCAAGTTGATTTTTATGTGAATATCACTGAATAGTTAATCTGATTGGGTAGGTTTACTATTTTAAAATATGTTGTGTCCAGAACATGTTGCAAATGATCATTCCAGCTATTAAATGTGTTGATTCTAACGAGTCTTAAAATATAAATATGTATCCAATGCAAAACTTACACCGTCAAAATTTGGAATAATGCTTTCACTTGAACTATATGAACATTGAAATTGATCCCACAGATTCTCCAAACAGAAATCACTGACATGTGTCTAATGCAGGTTAGATACTGACTACTCCTACTACTTGACACAATTCCACTTCTAAAACTTCCAACTGTTGAGTTAAGTTAAATAAAATTCACTTTCAATCAGAAAGATCATATTCTTTGACCAAACGTCATGATTAGATGTATTTAACATGTTGAATGTGCTGAAGTGTCCAGAGGTTTTAACAAAGCTGACAAAAAAATCACTCATCAGAAAGACAAGAGGCAGACTTTTACCAGTATAGATCAGTGGTTCCCAACACTGGTCCTTGAGGAACTCCATCCTGTATAATTCCCTGCTCCAACACAACTGATTCAGTGATTCGATTACCCGGGGTACGTCCTCAAGTTCTGCAGAAACCTGTTGATAACCCATTTATTCAAATCAGTTGTGTCAAAGCAGGAAAACTAAAACATGAAGGATGGTGTACCTCAAGGACCAGAGCTGGGGAAACTACTGCTTTAGATGTCCCTGGCCTGATGCTCAGAACGTTAAAACAAATACAGTAAATGACTTAAATACTCCTTAAATACACAAAAAGATAGCTAATTAATAAAGCTTTACCAAAACTTTTCCAATTAAACTACGAGGAGCATTTCAAGTCAAAGTCTTGGTCTGACTTGAACACAATGCATACAATATGTCAGGATTTCCAACTTTCCCTTTCATCTCATGTTGAAGAGCTCATTTCCATCTACTGATGCAGGGCGAGCTTTTGTTACAGCTTTCAAGTGTTGGAAAAAAAAAAGTCACACACGGGCTTTAATAATGGGTCCAGGAAACCATCTAAGAGCTTCAGTGCATAAAAGTGCAGGTTTGAAAAAAAATAAAATAAAATTAAACACGGTACGTGACAGTCTGAACCACATTTAGCAGGTTACCTTGTCTAAATGCATTACTTTTTACATAATTGGCGCATAAATTTAGAGTACTTGGTGCAACATGTGACACTGGAATTGATTCAGCTTTAAAGGAGGGTATAAGCAGAGAATGTCAAGTGTTTGTGACAAAAAAAAAAGAGTATTATATTAAAATTTACCAGGAGTACTGACCCAAAGTAACAAAGACTATTCATTAAAAAGGACATCACAGCTTTGGGAGAAAAAAAAAAAAAAAAACGTACACGGCTGTGCACAGAAAGTTATTCATGATTTGGAAATGATCCATTTACAAATCAGAGATAAGTTTCTCTCCTGGGGTTAGATGTGATCCGGGTGTCATGAGTAAACGCTGTGTTCCTGCAGAGTGACTGTACTTACAAAGAGCATTAAGCAGTCCGCTGAGCTTTCTTGTGCTTTGCTGGCATATTCAGGGAGTGTGCACTAAGTTTAGCACCAAAGAGACTTCTCTTTGACAGAAGGAAGCGATGAGCATATCTGGCTCCAGCCGCATGGTTAATAGCCATGGCCACTGTGGAGGAAAAAAAAAAAAAGGGAAGAGATAAAGCAGAATGAGAAATGGACATGAGGACGAAAGTGCTACCTTTTATCAGTTTTAGACGAGGTTTAGATGAAAAAGTTGGATAACACACTTTTATCTATGTGTTGAATATTAAAGAGATAGTTGGTGTAGGATTTTATAAACACAAATAAAATGGGAATAGAACAAACGTCTAAAGTATGAGTATGTAGACTATCTGGTATCTGTACTTGTTAAAGCAAAAATAAGTTGTATTGAGTATATTTGAACTTGTATATGCTAAAATCTCAAAAGGCCAGGTTGAACGAAATATCAAATAATGGTATTTGTTACCAATTCTTGTTCATCAACTTTGATTCAATCTGATCTGAATATCACTTTAAGCTTTAAACATTTTGTTGTACAGTGTGGAAATATAACATGTTGCAGTGTTTTATATGCACAGCTCCACTCGTTGCCCCAATTTGCCGACTGATTGCATACTTTAGTCACTTGTAAGTTGTTAGGGATAAAGTGTCTGCTTATTGACTAAATGTAATGTATATTGCCTAATGAAGAATCCTTCAGACCCTTCTTTCTCTTCCTGTGGTTATGCAATTAAAAGTTGTTCAGTTTTGACCTAAAAACAAATGTTTTCTTGAACGTAAGCAAGTATTATAGTCTAAACTTATACAAGCAGTTGTTTGGTCAAAACCAAGAAGCTGAAAAAAAAGTTATTGCCAGATCTTGTTGAAACTCCTCCCAGAAATTTAGTCTCAAAGACAAAAGTGGAAAAACCTGATGAATTTCTTTTGTTGCAAGTTTCCAAAATCAAAAAACATAGCCATACAACACACTAACAAAATTTGAAACACATGAGACATACAATGACCTATCTCTCTTTCGCTCTCAACAAAGATAGTCGCTCTCACCTTTTCCCTCTCCCTTCTTCTTTTTTGCTCTCTTGTCCCATCGTCCTCCTCAAACCCTCTCTTTACACATCTACCAAATTAAAAAATGTTTATGGATTTGGTCAGCTGGTCTCAACGCAATTGATAAAAAAAAAAAAAAAAAATCCACCAGATGACTGGATGCTGGAGAGCCCTCATACCCTGAACAGACCTACACATTTGGGTAGGTCATTGATTCTTGGGAGCAGTGGATGATGATGTGACTATCTATGCTGTCCATGGAGGATGTAGAAGATGTGTACATTATTGGATTTATGATAACATTGTTTCTGCTTTTTGGAATCGGCAGACATCTAGGATATCTACAAATTAGGAAGACATCGGCAGCAGTTTCGGCCATGGTAAAGCTGCCAGCCTTATGTGAAGGATTAATTTGTGCCTCAAGCGCTCAGACTCGTATGCTTAATGAGCTCAACCGTTAGCTGGATGCGATTTCTGAGAATTGTAGGCCAGTTGCAACTCCTGGAACTCGCCAGTATTAAAGAGTCGACCTTGGAGAAAGCCAACGAGCACATACTGGTCGGAATGTCCACAAATCTGGCTGTTTGGATTCACCATTGATTGTACCAGCAGAACTGAAGTCAGACAGAAATCAGAGTCTGCCTGCCCAAAACAAATGTTGTTTATCTGAATTTGGCCTCCCTGCTGGCCTTGGACAGGTCAACTTATCTCAAATTGCTCCTGGAGGATACGTAAACTAGACGATCTGCCTGCCTCAACCCCCATCCCCTCCCGAGGACATCTGTGGACTTATCAGAATTGTGACGCTGATAGACACTGCACCATCTTATCAGAACTTAGGAACTTTGAGTGTTTATGGACAACTCACTGCTTTTGTTGACCTCTGTGCATAAATGTATTATGATGCCATTGTATGTTGCTGTTTATGTTGCAAGGTCTTTTTTTTTTTCCATCTTTTGCACTGTGCCACGGCCAGCACATGGTGTGAGACTTTCTTTTTTTTTTTTGCTTTCTCCACCCTCGTGTCCTCTTTTTCTCATCTGACTGTATGTTGTACAGTATGTAACAGGTCTCTCTTGTAAATGAGTCTTGGAGGATCAATGGGAACGAAACTGTATAAATAAAGGTCTAATACATAATAATAATTGATGTCACCTCACCTCCTACAAATTAGTAGGTAGATTATTTATTTTTAACAAGCAAATTTACCAACCAAAAAGTATCAGAACATTTAAAAATATATTTCCATTCTACACACTTCACCCACAGCTTTGAGTTGGTTCAGTCCAGCTCAGTAAAATGTTGGTAGCCTCTAAGCTGTCAGACGATTCAGTTGTTGAGATTCAAAGGTGTTAAATGCTGCATCTTTTTCTGACTTGAAATCAGACAAAAAAAGTCTTGACATGACATCATGTGTGTCAAACTCGAGGCCAGATAGCTGAATATGGCCCTTGTTATGATTTTATCTGCCCCATAAGGTCCATCCATCATCTGTATCCGCTTCTTTCTTTCCTGGTTGTGGGGGTGACTTGTGCCCATGTACAGAGTCACTGTGCAAGAGGCGGGGGACACCCTGGATAGGTCACAAGTCCATCACAAGGACACATAGAGACAACCATTCACTCTCTCACTCACACCTAGGGACAATTTAGAGTTGCCAATCAGCCTAACGTGCATGTTTTTGGTCTGTGGGATAAAACTGGAGTATCTGGAAAAAGCCCATGCATGCACAGAAAGAAAATACTTTTATTGCTTCTTAATTTTACATCAAAACTGAGCAAACTTTATTTAGTACAAAACTTTCAAAACAAAAAAGTTAGTTTGAGATTTTCCACATTTTTTAATGCAGAAATAACAGAACATCATGAGTCCAATGAAAGTCTTGAGTATCAGGTAATAGACTGGAGTTAAAGTATTAACTGAAATTGCCTCTTGGTTTGAAATAAGTTTTCAATTCTGGGCCCTTTTTCAATGGAGTTTGACTGCCCTGTATTAGAGTAACTCTTGAGTGGTGGCAAACTAATGAAGAGTGCAAGTTATCCACAAATTCATAAAAAAGTAGGAAATATTTGTTTCATGCTCTTACAATGACAAATACCTAATCTGGACCTTGTGCAGGTTCGTGAAAACAATCGTCTCCATTGGTTTGAGATCAGCATTAGCCATGATTAGCCATGAGGAAGCAACATGAAACCTGTTGTTATATCCGAGGCTAAGAAATGACTTGAGCCAAAGCAGCTGAGGGAAAGTCAGCAGCAGGTGATAATGGGATAAATCCAGAGCCCTAAGGCCACACAGTGTAATACGGTACTAATCCGGTCTGTGCTGGTGAAGTGATGTTCTGTCATGATAACAACTTGTCGTGAGACATTGCTGTGCATGGACTTAGTGGCTGCTACTTCGTGTAAAATGGCATTCACTTTTAGGACCAATAAGAACAAAAAACTGTGGCGAAATAAGTTTTTTTTATTTTCACATCGAATCATAAAATGCCCTAACTGGATGAAGGCTGCTGCAGCTGACAGCGTCCAACAACAGGGGCTTTAGTGGGGACAGCTGGGGGGTGAAACATGTTCAGACTGTAAGTAACATCACTTTAGTCTCACATACTTAGACAATACATTGTCCAAATGATTTCCCCATGGAGACTTTTTGCCTAATGATCTTTATTTCTGGTGCCCTAATTCATTTATTATGCTAATGGGGAAAGCTGCTGGTCTAATCAGACACCCCGTAAACTTAAGTGTACTTCAGTGTTGTAATCATGTAGGAGGATGATTTGAAAGCTCGCAGCAATTCTGTTGCAAGATGATGAAAATTATTCAAATGACGATAAGGGCTTTAAATATCTAATAGAAAGCTTCGGATTTAGAGCGTCCTCAGCAGACGTCTGTTAACTCCCTCACGAATAAGTCTGCTGTACATGTTAATCTATGGAACATTTACTCATAATTCTCCGAAATGTGCTTCAAACTGATTGGCCGTAGGGTTGTATGATCTTTAGATAAGTTTTTTTTCTCTGCAGCAAGCAGTGGATTTATTTTGTGAGCGTGATGGTAAAGGGAAAAAAAGAATTAAAGGTAATAAAAAGGGGTTATCGAAAGGCACTGCTTGGCCTGAGCATTTGTCTTTATCCACACTCTATCACCTTAATCTCCCAAGAGGAGAGCCTCTGGGGAGAGGAAATCTTATTTAATAAAGAGGCCGGTCTGTATGGCAGACTGTCATCAAAGAGGAGCTCCAAAGGTTTGGTAAAGAACATGCCCACAAACATACATTTGCACATTAACCCCCATCAGAGAGGCGATGGAGACGGAACAATAGGCTCTTCGGTGACTTTCTCGTGCTTGAAGGTGTTTTCTTGTAAATGCAAGCAAAACTAAACTTTAAAGTTGTTGGCTGTTTGGATGCACTCATGCACCAAGGTAAAAAATGAATACACACTTTTTTTGTTCATTGTACAACCTGGTATTGCAAGATAGATATCCAATCATCTGCTTTAAAAATCCCATTAACATCAGATAAAAGTACTAAAATCAAGTTTGAATGCATATTAAGACTGTGTTAACTGCACTATATTATTCTGCCACTCATGTAAAGCTTAATGACAAATTCATGCAATGTGCAGAGGTTTGACAATGACACTTGGCAAGAGTTGTTCTGATTGATTACTTGCAGCTGTAAAATTAAAATGTCTCGATTTTTAAATCACTTGAGTTATGACCAACAAAGTCCATGCTCAATAATCCAGGTATACAATCTAACAATTTTCAGTCAGGTCATCTGGATGGTTTCATTTTTTTATTTTTTTTTAGGTGTGCTGAAACGTTTCACCTTCCATCCAGAAGACTTCATCAGTCAAGGAAATGCACAACACAAAACTGTTTCTTCCCCCAACAGCTTCCTCCAAAATGGAACAAACCAGTTATGTTGGTGCTAAGATGATCTCTTTGTTCTAGAATTGCGCCGCTCAAGGTGGCTGCATGTTGGAGCAGCTCTGTTATTTTCATTCTGAGATTTTGCTTTTGGAAACTTTAATTCCTCTTTTTCTGGATGTAAGTCACATTTTTTGGATGATTG